GATCACTAAATAATTGCTCTATTCTAAGCATTATTGACATCATTTCACATAGATGTAGCTTTTAATTCATTGCACCAACCATGGTCACCAATAATCGTGGCTCACATAGTCGTAATTAATTCCATTGTCCCCCACTTTGTTATCTTGGCAAGTTGTGATGGACAGTGAATTGCTCTTAACTCGGTGGTTCTCCCTCTTTCTCAACTTTGACGAAATTAAATAATGTAAACGGGGTTTAATGATAAAAATCGCTTTCAACCTACTAGGATTTGACAATTTCGAGTATTTATTATCAATTTGGGTTAATTGGACTCCAAACTATTTTTTTTTTTAACAAATGTGATCTTTATCAATTATATTTTAATTGTCGGAAAGTTGACTATCAACGGTCAATTCTTTGACCGTTAATATTCCATTTACAAAAAAATAGTTGATTTAGTCAAAATATGATTTACATAAAATTGCATAATGGTTATTCGTTAGATTTTAAAATTAATAACACTTAACAAAAAAAAATTAAAAATACAAATAATCAAATAAAAAAATAAAAGTACAAACTCTCGATTAGAAATAAAATAGAAAGTTCATACTCATGTAGTGGACGGATCGACATGCTTGATATATCAATTAAATGGTTATATTAGTATGAATTTAACATAAATACTCAATTAGAAAAAAGAATTAAAAATATAGATTAACAACAATTCAGTTATACTAGATTTACATATTTTATTTTATTTCTAATCTAGTCAATTCAATAGTTATGTCAAGCATAAATTTAATAAAGATACTTAATTAAAAATAAATAAAAATTTATATTAGCGATAATCTAGTTAATACTTAAATATTTTATTTTATTTCTAATCTAGTCTCGTTTAATGGTTATGTTAGCATGAATTTAAAAAAAAAATTGATTAGAAAAAAATTGTACTTTTACTTTTTTTATTTAAATATATGTACTTTTTTTTCTATTTGATTATTTGTACTTCTAAATTTTTTTTTATGAGTTATTAATTTTGAAATCTAATGAATAATCACTATACAATTTTATGTAAACTATATTTTGACCAAATTAACTAATTTTTATTTTTTAAAAAAAAACTAAAATTGTAACGGTCAAAAGGTTGACTGTTAAAGATAATGGTTAAGAATCACATTTACTAAAAAAAAAAAATTTGGAGTTTAATTAATCTAAATTGATAATAAATACCCGAAATTATCAAATCATAGTGGTTTGGGGATAATTTTTGTCATTAAACCATATAAATAGTCACTCTATTTTTTGGGAAAAGATTAATTAGTCCTTCTTATCTCAAAAACTAACTATTTAATCACTTGATCTTTGATGATCAAGCTTGATGAAGTATTATTTTATTTCATAAAATGTCATCTTTTTTCATCAATCCTTTAATATTATTTTAATTTTCTTCTATTTCTTAAAACAAAAAATCAAAATAAATTAAATTAAAGCTGATGAGCCATCGATCGACTCAACTAATAAATTTAGGATATGTGATTTAAAATAACATGATGGTTGTCTAATGATTGTGGAATGTGATGGAAAATTCTTTTGCATTACAAAACAAGTTTTCTTGATTGAGTAGGAGATCTTCTGACACTCAATTTAATACTCAAAAACAACAATTTGATCCGAGAAGTCTTTTGTGTTGGTATGTATTAGATGGTGTGTAATTTAATAAAAAAGGAGTTGTCCAGGGTATGAAACCTGTGCTGGGTGTTTGTGGAACCTGTGGGAAGTTCTTTGTGGATGTCTGCCTCTTTTTATATTAGTTGATTGATCCCTCCTCCATGTGAGAAATCTTCCCTTTATGTAAAACAGTAGTGAAAGCCTCTTGCATGGTAGAGAGAGCAAGGATGTCATTTTTTCCTTAAAGCTAGCGGAAGAGTCCGACAAGTATGGGTGTTTTGCCATCATCTTATAGCCCACTATGATCTCTTAAATATCTTTGGTTATAGCTTAAATTTAAAAACGGTTGGTTATATTCAGCAAGTCTTTAACTTCAATCCTATGATAACTTCAAGAGAAATTTGGGGAAAAACACAAGAATTGATGCCCAACCATATGAATAAGTTAACCACAAAGCTAGTACAGCAACCAGTGCACATCAGTTATTAGGTGGCAATAAAGGTCAGATATATTAGGATTACGCCTCCTCCTTTCTTAATTCTTATTGCTCCAATCTAATTCAATATCAAATCGTTAGATAGCCAAATAATCAGTAATAAAAACTGTGACATGTAAGGGAAAAAAAAACTGAGACGTGCAATCAAGCACGTAATATGAACCATGACAAAAACTAGAAGTATCCAACATATGTTGAAAGAGATACTCCTCATGCAATGCACTTGCATCCCAGCATTCTTAGTAGCAAGAATACCTTCCAGCGCATCTTCAGAAACAAGAAATCTTCTGCATATCTATTGGTTCACCCTATCAATTTACGAGATAAATCATATGCTGTTAGAGTGCATTCTTTAATGTCTAAGTAATTAAAGCTAACTCAAAAGCAATGATGAAATAAATCAAACAAAGACTCACTAACCCGGCATATTTTACTACCCATCAGTAAATATAAAAGAAAAACATCGATAAGAATATCTCGAACCTCCTGGCTGCGACTGGGAATACATCCAGTGATGCATCAATGACAAAAGCTCACCATGTCTGTGTTTTCAAATCAAAATGGTGCCCCTGAGAGCTGAAAAATACATCCATTTCATTAGATTTCCTAATTGAAACATATCATTTAAAAAACAATAATAACAATATAAATAAACCATAACTGGTAGCCAAGCCAATCTGTATCCCTTTTGCGTGTTGATGCTATCGAAGAGCTTGCCCTTACAACGAAAAAACAATGAAAAGAAAAATTGTTGTCACAATTGATTTGGCACTACAAGACAGCAAAATGTTATGCACTAACACTTTTGAAGTCCAATTGTACATTAATGTATACAACTATGTCAAGTCAAAACTTTGTCGAACAAGATTTGAAACCGTCACAAGATGATAATGTAGAAATTTTTTGGGAGCACCACTTTGATCTTTTTAGGTTGTTTTACTTGTTCCCTTAAAGTTTCCACCTGAGAAGAGAGCAGGTAAGCATAGAGTCAAAGAACTCCTCTCTCTCTTGTTCACTTCTTGGAGAGTTCCAATGGAAAAAAGCTTTCCTCATACAGATTCCTACCCAAAACCAGAAACAGAACACCTTTCATTCTAGTATAGTCCTCCTTTCTCATTCTCTTCTGCCAGACAGAAAAGGTGGGAATAAGCTTAAAAAATCTTCTTAATATAGTTGTTCCCTCCCACTAGAGGCAGAAAGTTCATTTAAGCCATCTCCCCCAAACTTAATCCAACTATCCCCACCCTTCAAGCAGTTTCAATTGCCAAGTGAATTGAGTTTGATCAAAGAGGATTCGTGTCTATACTTCAATTTTTTAATGATTTGAAAATAACTACATATTTCCAAGGGAGACTTGGTCCACACATATTTATGTCTCTTGAACTTGATCTTCCTAGCTAAGCTATTATATTCCTTCTGTGACTTTTCTTATCGAGGGGATGCAAATTCTCATTTCAAAAGAACACAAAAAGAAAGAGCATGCTGATTAAAAGGAACGGAATAGATTTCCTGATTTGTTTTATGAGGATGTGTGGCGTGGAGGAGCCATGGAAAGATCAATTTCCTGATTACTTTCAGATAGCAAATAGATCAACTGGACAACTAAATTCCACACTTCAGAGATGATTCATTGTCTGGGGAAATGGTTTTGGTTTAGGTGATGACAAGATTGTGTTGGAAAGTTACTAGTAGTGGAACACTTGGTTCCTTGTCCTATTTTAACGGATTAGGTTATTGGAGAACTAGAACAGAAACATTTTCCAGAAGTGAATTCTAGGAGTGCCAACAAAAACATCCTTTTCTGTGTGGAAACTTGACAGAAACCATATCTTACATCTTGACTGCAGAAATTCAAAAGATGGAAAATGCTGGTTAGTTAGTGCCTAAACAAGTAAGAGGGATGAGGAAATATGGAATCATATTCATCTGACTGTTGCCTGAACAATTGTGGTCTATGGTTTTAAGTGTATTTGAAAGAAATTTGCTTAACCCTCAAATAGTTGGGGAGTTGCTAGCTAGCTAGCTGGAGAGATGGGAGTATTAAGGGCAGGAATATGGAAATTGTATTGATTTTTTCCCATGCATACAGGAGACTGCATGGAATGAGAGAAATAGCCACCTTTGACCCAGTAGGGTGGTTGATAAATCAAATAAATGGTGGAATGTTTGGGACACTTTTTTCTAGTTGGACAAATGCTAAGTTCCTGGTTATGCCGACTTTAAGGAGAAGTTATAATTATCCTCAACTCATTTTCAGCTCGTTTTGTCCTCCAAGCAACTATTGCATTTTCTAAAAAAACAACTCAATGAAACAATGATGCAAAGAGCAATCACTGATCAAAACATGGACAATTCTTGAAAAAACTGGTAGTATAATTTGCATGAGATACTTAGTCTCCAGCACTTTATCGTACATTACCAAAAATCAGTTCGAGTAAGACTGAACTAACAGTCTAACAGCTTCGTTTTTGTTTTCCTAGAACATCAATGCTAAAAAGAAAAGACTTGCCTATCTTGCATAGAATGCAATTCTTAAACAAGAAAAAGCACTGATCCTAGCCTTTGGATATTTCGGACTTTTATTTATTTTTATTTTTTTTAATATCTTCTTATACAGGATAGCTTGTGAAAAATCATCTTTTTCAAAACTATTATTAAACAACATTAGGTAGGGAAACAATCCAGGCTAAGTCAAGCATATAATTATTGGAATAAATAGTACCTGGCATCAGGTCAGTTGTTGGAAGCATTTTCTGCCCTTTCTACAAGAAAATCCTCAGCTGAAAGAGAGTCACTTGTTGGCACAACCGACCTTTAAATTCATGTATGAAATTGAGATAATGACACTAAATACTATCACCAATAATCCATGCACGAACAGGAACCATCTTTAAAGTGATGGAATCTAACACGATCTCTCACAATAATCTCCACATTGAAGATTCCAGAAATTAATTTAGTGACCTTGTGGCAGTCATCACAAACCCGAAGATTCTTGAAAATACGTATTGGCATTCCTGGTTTGAAGTTTAAAAGCCCCAAAGCAATGGCAAGCCTCTCACTGTGCAGCCTAAGAGTGTGTCGCTTACCATCATTCCGCTCATCAACCATAGGTGCTTGCGAATAGTCAGGCGTATACCCTATCGAGTCCAACCTTTTTTCAATCACATCCAAAACCTGATATAATTCTTTAGTTTGAGGATGAGAGGTGTCCCCAGCAAAAAATTCGTGGGTAACACCATCTACCTCTATCAAACTACACCCTGGCTCTTTTAATACGCCATTATTGGTCATCAATTTTCTAACCAAGCCAACATCATTCCACCGGCTAGCTGATGCATAGACTCTGGATAAGAGCACATAAACACCACTAGAGTCACCTTCTTCTGACTCAAGGATCTGCCTAGCTATTTTTTCACTTAGCTCAACGCTTGCGTTTTTCTTGCAACAAGAATCAAGAAGACTCCTCCATATAACAACATCTGGTTTCACGGGCATGCTTGAAACCAAATCCAAAGCTTCATCAATCAAACCAGCACGAGCCAGAATATCGACTAGGCATCCGTAGTGTTCTAATTGAGGTTCAATTTTGTATTCGTTAACCATCATGTCAAAATACATGTGGCCCTCATTAACCATATGCCCGTGGTTACACGCGCTCAAAACACCAACAAACGTGATAGAATTCGGCACAAACCTCGATATCCTAATCATACGTTCAAAAAACTCCAATGCTAACTCGCCTTTTCCATGCATGGCAAATCCTAGAATCATACAATTCCAAGAAGTTACATCTTGTTTTCGCATCCCCTCAAAGATCTGCATAGCAATATCCAATGACCCGCATTTGCAATACATATCCAACAAAGAATTGTTAACCAAAACATGATCTCTAGCTACAGCAACATCACGGTTTCTCAACAAATAAGCATGAGCCCACATCCCCAAAGACAAAGCGCACAGGCCAGCACAAGCACTTATAACGCTCTGCATTGTATACCCATCAGGCTCAAAAAATAGCTGCTGCAACTGAACAAACAACTTCAAAGCAGTTTCGAACTCACCAAACTGAACAAACGCATCAATCATTGCATTCCATGAAACCAAACTTCTGTGCGGCATTTTGTCAAACACATTCTTTGCAGACTCCAAACTACCGCAAGAAGCATAAAAATGGATGAGGCTGTTATTTATATAAACATCAGATTGAAACCCCAGTTTTAACATCTGGGCATGTGCTTGTTTCCCTTCAAACAAAGCAAACAAATATGCGCAGGCCTTTAAAACAAAGGGGAAGGTATGGTTATCAGGGAAGAGTTCCCATTTCTGTAGCATAGCGTTATATAGCAAAAAGCTTCTCCTTTAAGATGAACGCTTTGGCTTTGTGCACAGGCTCTGATAAGAATGTTCCACATAAATGAATTGGGGTTGTCAATTTGAGCAAACACTCGAAAAGCGTAGTCGAGATCGTAGAGAGAAGAGAAATGGAGGATTCGACTGTACAGAAAGAGAGTGGTTGGGTGGTTGGGCAAAGTGGAACGTAGAGATAGAGCATGTATTTGCTTGAGCTGTGACATACCCTTGCATTCACTCAAATGCTGCAAAAGAAGGTTGTAGTGATTGGAGATCAGGATTTGAGGAGGTGGGCTTGGTATGATTCCCAGAACCATTTTCAAATCGATTTTGGCAGATTCAACTAGTAATAGTAACAGTGTTGTCTTCTTGGTTTAACCCAGAGAAGGAAGGCCTCCATAAATGGTGATTGTGGTTACTTTGGTGTGACTTGTGTGGTCACTAGAGCACAGCTAGTATAAATATCTCAGGTTCCTGATAAGTCTTGGGCACTTGCAGAATTAAAAATATAGAAAATAAATTGCAGTTTGTCAGTTTGCCGAAATAGCGCAAGGAAGAAATAGCAGCAGCAAAATGATGCAACTCTCAACATATGTTTAACTCAGCTATTTACCAGTTCTCAGAACTAAAAGGAAAATAGATAAGAAACTCTGGCAATTTGCTTTTCGCTGAAACCCTAACCATTGTGCTGCAAATTCCATCTGAATCGTTTCTTACATAAGTCTCTCATTATCAGGTAGCCAGATTTCCATCCTTGAAATAATAGCAATGTAATGAAAGTGAATAATACTTCCAAGAAATATAATAGTATATGGCTAATCCACAATGAGAATATGCTAAATATTGCCCGAAGAATAGATGTACTTTCATCAGACAAAAAGATCGAGTAGTTTTGAAAGGCAGCTTCTCTTTCATGACGCAAATAAATTTGCGAATTCAGCTTTCCACATCCTCAAAAGGAGGCAGGTCCCAAAATTTTGGGTCGAAATCCAACAGCGAACTTAAAACTTGATCTGCAGTGTCATGATGAGAGCTATCCAGCCTCGGATCTGGAACCATTACCGCTGACCTGCACGGTATGTGAAACAAAATATATTAGCAGCCATGCAACAATTTCGAAATTGCATCATACCAAAAACCATTTCCAACAGTTTGGGACCTATAATGCTAAGATAATGTCATTCAACCAACTACATTTTCCCAAAAAAAAAAAAAAGAGGCTCATCTTCTTGGACCATGACATTATAACCAACAAAAGAAATGGTTTAATGGCAAAAATTGCTCATGTTCTATTGCAATTTGACAATTTCATGCTTTTATTATCAATTTACGTAACTTAAATCCTAAAATATCAGTTTTTGAGCAAATATTATCCAACTCTCCTTATAACAGTCGACCTAATTGACCGTTAAGTGGAATGCTTAAACGACCGCTGTTTTTAAAAGAAAAAAACGCTAAAAAAAAAAAAAAAAAACTATTCATCTATGTTTTAGTTTCAGACCACTGAGAAAAAATGAGATTTAACAGTCTATCATCAATTTTAGTTCTTCAATGAGAACTAGTTCACCAATGCTTCCTTGAGTCTTGAACTTTGGTTCCAAGCCCTATCAAGTGGCAACCAGGGTTCATTGGTATCAGCACAGAACCAGCAGCAATAAAAAGAGAGAGAGAACTTGTTCCATTAGTCCAATAACAAGAACTAGACAATTCTGGCAATTTCTAAGTTCCATCAAACAATCCATTATCACATTATTAAATGAAAGCTGTGAAAGTTTAAAATTCCAACACAAAATAGGACTCAATCCTTTCCTGCACTTTCACTAGTTTATAATTTGAATCCAGAATCAACTGCAATCTCTATGGTTGAAAGAAGTAGAGAAAAGAAATTAAAAGGACAAAAAAGAACTTTAAAAAAGCTTCAAATTGGCAAACAATATTTCAAGAAAAACATTGGTATAGAATTAAATAACACCCAGATGAAGCTTTTAAAAGAAAAAAATGGAGGGGAGAGGACTGGAGGCTCAGATTCACAGTTTGTCAGATATGAAAAGAAATGCAACCGTGGCTGCAACAATGATATGCCTATGAAAGAATGATGTTTTTTTGTCTTTTTAGTGACTTATGAAACACCCATTTCATTTCACAGACCCAACAAAGTCACCCTGCCAAAAATTTTATGTTCTATTCTAACTGATTTCTCATTTCAAGCATCATCACTGCCTCATAGATAGATAGAGAGATAGAGAGATTGTGTTTTTTTTTTTTTTTTTTGGGCTTTGTTACAAGAGCAGATTAGATCTGCTTTCCAGGAGGCTCAGATTTGCATTTATCCTCAGAAAATTAAAAGAAGCACAAAAACCATGGCTGCAATCACGAGGGTCCTCTGTGAAAAGAGACAGAACAGTCCATTTAACACAAAAACCCTAACTTGCCTTGCCGAATGATTGAAGGGTTTCTTTAAAATGACTGATTTATAACTGGAAAATATCGTCACAGCTTCATAGGAGGAGGAGGAGGAGGAGCAGAAGGGAAGGACACGATCAAGATCAAACCACCCTGGTTAAAATCATTGAAATCATCGGCTTCGAAATCTTTCAGAGAGGAAGGCAACCACCCTGAATGCAACCAATCCATCTCTCTGACAGCAAAACCTCATTCTGGGATCATTGGGGAAATTCTATAGTGCCTTTGTTACTAGTACAAGATCAATGTCTTTCAATGTGTTTGTCGTCCCATGAATGACCAAGGGCATAAAAAAATTATGAGCGGAATGCTTAAGCGATGTCGTTTAAGCAGTCCGGTTAACGGTCAACTGGGTTAACTGTTACAAATAACGGAGAAAATGAGATTTGAATAACATTTGCCCAAAAACCAATATTTTGGGGTTCAAATTACGCAAATTAGTAATAAAAGCCTGAAATTGCCAAATTGCAATAGAACAGGGGCAATTTTGGGCAAAAGAAACATGATGCGAACTATTCTTTCTTTTCTTTATCCCTATTTTCAAGTATATTGATCAATTAATTATCCAGATACAAGTCTAAGAGTCATAACTTGAACGCCTTAACAAAGGAGTCAATAGAGAAGAACCTATGAACTCTTCTACCAAGTGGCCAACATATGTTAGCGAAAGGAAGAATATACATGAATGGGCTGTGTCCCTCAGAGGAAATGAGAAAAAGAAACAAACAACCTAGAAGATAAGGACATTGAAAAAGCACGCAAATAAATTTATTGACCACCTGTAAGATTCTCTCTAGTTATATCAAACACGGACCACTCCTGTGGTTTCTCAAGTTTACTTGCATCACCTAGCCAGCCTACTTTTTGGATTGATGAATTACACACTTGATATCTTAAATTGTAATGTATGGAGTTGATTATACTGAGACTATATAACATATGAGTAGAAAATGTGAGTTTTGAAACAAAGCAGATGGCTGTTGTAGTCACACTCAGGGATAGTCAGTACAATTTACCTACAAATAAGAGTAACTCAAAACTCCTATATAGCATCTGCAGATTGCCTTCAACTCCTAAATAGAATCATCAAATTCCATCCACTAGGAACTTGTTGAAAGTACATCCTAAAACTATTTAATCTCCAAAATTAACTGAAAATTTGGAGTCATCACCAAGATCCGATGGCAATTTCAAGATCTGCATGCTTCTTGATATGGTATTTTCTTGCTTGGACAAGGTCAAATATAACCTCAACCACACAACCCCAGTAGATAGCCAACAGTTAGAGTTTTGCAGCTCTAATCACCAGTCAAAATAGGAGCAAAGAAGATGCAAATGCACTGATTCTATACAACATGGATTCTAAAAGTGCAATCATGCTCCAAAAATTATGAATGATAATACAACCAAGGTGAACGTTTGGAACAAAGAGGGTAATGGGACAAGACAAGCTTTAGTTAATAGCATGGAAGTGAGAGAGCATGTTTGAATTCGCTGCATATGGACGGCAGATATTCCAAAGACGAAGGAAGGTTAAATATCCACCCCCAATATCATGTTTTTGTGATCTCCTTTATGGCATATGAACATCCTAGCAGTTATATGCACCACTACAAATGCAAACAGTGTGTACAAGCCACCACCAAACAACATCGTATGCCTGAATTAACGAACAAAATATTGGATAAACAAAGGCAGACTTGCTATTTTCCATTCAACCTTTGTAACCAAGATGCATTTAGTTTTTAGCACCCATTGCAAAATCATACTACATATAATCTGTAATGTTCATACTTGTAAAATCTGATTCCATATTTCATTATTCAGTTCCTTATACATTAAGCCACATGGTAATTCTTGAAAATGAGTAACGTGCATTTTGCTGAACTTTAATACCTGTATTTGGCACCTAGAAATTACTTCTGACAAGGCTAAATTTTAGCAAAAGTACTTTTATCTGTACTTTCCCATCAGTTCAATGTCATAGCTATGATCCCTTAAATATCTTGTGTTATAGCTCAAGTTTCAAACTCAGGTATATTCAGCAAGTCTTTTAAATTAAATCTTATGATTAATTCAAGAGAAACAAGAGCAAAACACAAGAAATGATACCTAATCATACATAAATTAATCACACAGATAGCAAAGCAACCAATCCACAGCAGTTATAAGATGAAAAAAAGGTCACGTATATTAGGATTAAAGCTCCTCCTTGCTTGTTGCTCCAACTTACTTCCATATCAAATCATTAATTAGCCAAATAACCCAGTAATAAAATTGTGTGCAATCGAGCAAGTAATATGAACTATGACAAAAACTAAATATCTAATATATGTTGTAAGAGATATGCAAACAATGCACTTACATTCCAGCATTCTTAGCTGCAAGAACACCTGCAGGTGCATCTTCAAAAACAAGAATCTTCTGTGGATCTAATGGGCCACCCTGTCAATTTGCAAATAATCATATGCTGTTATAGTGCATTTTTAATGCCCAAGTAAATAAAGCAAACTCGACAGCAAATTGATGAAAAGAATCAATCAAAGACTCACTCTCCCAGCATATTTTACTGTTCATCAAACTATAAAAGACAAACATCTACAAGAATACCTCGAATCTTCTGGCTGCAGCTAGGAATACATCCGGTGATGGTTTGCCTTGTTTAACTTCTGGATCATCTCCAAGAACAATATGATGCATCAATGAGAAAAGCTCACCGTGTCTTTGTGTTTTCAAATCAAAATGGCGCTTGTGAGAGCTGAAAAATACATCCTAGCCATTAGATTTCGTAATTAAGGCACATCTTTACAAAACAATAATAAGAATTAATAAGAAATAAATAAATAAACCATACCCAGTTGCCACGGCAATTGGTATTCCTTTTGCATGGAGATGTCTGATCAAACGGCTTGCCCCTACAATAAAAAAATGATAAAAAGAAATATCTTTCTTACAATTGATCTTACCTTACAAGAAAGCAAGAGTTATGCACTAAAACTTTGAAGTCCCATTCTACATTGTATACACCTATGTCAAATCAAAGCATTATTAAACAACATTTGAAAACCTCACAGGATGATTATGCAGAAGTTCTTGCGGGAGCACACACTACTTCGATCTTTTTGGATTGTTTCACTTGTTCCCTTGTAGTTTCCACATTAGACGCGGGTAGATTAGGAAAAAGTTAAAGACTTCTCCTCTCTCTCTTGTTCAATTGGAGAGTTCCAAGGGAAAAAAACCCTTCCTCAAAGAGATTCCTATCCAAAATAAGAAGCATAGCACTTTCCATAAGAGTATAGTCCTCCTCTCTCATTCTCTTTCACCAAGACAGAAAAAGTGGAAACAAGCTCAAAAGGGCTCCTTAAATAGTTATGACACCCCATTTTGAGGCAGAAAGTTCAGTCAAACCATCTCCGCAAGACTTAATCCAACATTCACGCACTTTCATTTGCCAAGTGAATCATGAGTTTGGTCAAAGAGGATTTGTGTTGATACTTCAAATTTTTCTGATTTGAAAATGACTAAGGAAGGCAAAGGGAGACTTAGTCCTCACATATTCATGTATCTTGGTCTTGGCCTTGAACTTCCTACCAAGCTATTATATTTCTGCCATCCAGGGGATGCAAATTCTCATTTCAAAAGAATACAAAAGGAAAGAGCATGCTGATTAAAAGGAACAGGATCGTTTTCATGATTTGCTTTATGAGGATGTGCGGCGTGGATAGGAGCCACTGAAAGATGTGTTTCCTGATTACTTTCAGATAAAAGAATAGATCGAATGGACAACTACAATCCAGACTTCAAAGATGGTTCATTGTCTGGAGAAATAGTTTGGGTTAGCTGATGACAAAATCGTGTTGGAAAATTACTAGTAGTAAGGCAATTGATTCCTGGTCTTATTTTAATGGATTGCAGGATATTGGAGGCTTAGAACAGACACATATTCCTGAAGAAGTGAATGTTATGAGTGCCAATGAAAGCATTCTTTTCTAAGTGGAAACTGAACAGAAACCATATCTTACATCATGACTGCTGAAATTCAAAAGGTGTAAATACTGGTTGGTTAATGCCTATACAGGTAAGAGGAATACGAAAATGTGGAATCATATTCATCGACCCTTACCTGAAAAAATGTGGTCTAAGGTTTTAAGTTTATTTGTTTATTTGAAATAAATTTGCTTATTCCTCAAACAGTTGGGAGTTGCTAGCAGGAAAGATTGGGGTGTCAAGGGGAGAAATACAGAATTTGTAGTATTTTTCCCCCATGCATAGAAGAGAAATTGCCACCTTTGACCGAGTAAAGTGGCTGATACATTACATAAAGGCTGGAACGTTTGGGACACTGTTTTGTAGGAGCATAACCACTAAGTTCCCGGTATGGCGACTTTAAGGCAAATTATAGTTTTCAAGCTTCTAGTATCAATTTTCCTTTTCGTTTTTTCTTTACTTGGCTCGTTTCTTTTACTAGAAAACCTTTGAGGCAACTCGAATTTAGCATAAAATAAGTTTTCACAAAAGAGTTAGTCAACATATTTCTTGTTATTGCTACTAATAATCAGAAAAAACATTTCTTTTCATTTTGTCATCCAGCAACTATTCATTCTTTATTAAAACAACTAAATGAAAAAACATGATGGAAAGATTAATTACTGATAAAAACATGGACCACTCTTGATAAAAATAAGTAGGATAATTTGCTTGAGATACTTAGTCGTCAAGCTCTTAATGGACATCACCTAAAATCAGTTCAAGTAAAGGTGAACTAACAGCTTTACATATAACACTAAAAAGAAAAGATTTTCCAATCATGCAAAGAATGAAATTCTTAAAAATAAATAAAAATAAAAAAACACTGATCCCCTTTGGATATTTCAGCTTTTTTAAAAAAAATATGTATATATTCAGGATGGGTAATGAAAAATCATCTTTGAAATTATATGAAACAAAATCAAGCAGGGAAAGAATCCAGACTACATCATGCATATATATAATTGCAGTGAATAATACCTGGCATCAGGTCACTTGTTGGAAATAGTTTTTGCAGCATTGACTCCCTTTCTGCAAGAAAGTCCTCAGCTGAAAGAGAGTCACTAATCCCAGACTCCTCAACAAAGATCCTAGCTGATTCCATCGCCTTCCTCCCCATCATTTTTGCCTTGAGAGACCAATCAAAAGTTTTATTGTATCTAGCAAGTATGATTTCTTGGACTTCAGTGTAGAATTTCTCCGTATCTGCAGCATAACAAAGTCGAAAACTCATGAAATATATAAGCTCATTTCCCATGGAATAGATGCAGTAAGTAAGCACAGAAGATTTAGGATGATTGGTATACATGCACTAGGATTGTGAAATAGAGCGTGTGGAAAAAATTGAGTGTAGAATTGATTAGATCTGAATTTATTAAATAAGAATCAAAACACTAGTAGCGCCTTCTAACAAGTTCAAGGAATCACTCCTTGGTCAAAAACCTCAACACTTTTTAGGAAAGAGAAAACAAAAACAAAGCAAATTCTTAGCAATGTCAATAAGGGTGCATTTTGTATGGAGATAAAAGGGTTGACACACAGCAGCCTTTATTTTTTTATACAGCATTCTCAATCCCACAAAACACTTTCAAATAATAACACCAGTTAGACACTAAAAACCACCGTCTGCAGTATACCTCTAGCACATGTGAGAAAACTGACATCAAACCATTTACACTTGAAAGGACCAAAGTTATCCTTTTCACTGGGAAAAATTTTTTGCCACTGTGACATGGGATTTCAGAGAAACTTTTGGTCTCATAAAGTCACATCACCTCAACTGGACATAGAAAAATCCAAACAAAATGCTTACAACATTTCCCATCACTAAATTCCATTCTCACAATGACTAGAATGCTTATAAATGCTTGCAAATGATTGTTTTGCATGCTTCATGGTTATGTCAGGAATTGAATACGAACAGCACTCTCATTCATTCCAAATTAAATTCACATTTTATCTGAAAGTAAATCTTCGGAAATAGGGTTTACTTGTAACATACAAAAGAAGTTCGTCTCATTTAAATCAAAATATCTCAATTCACATGGAAATTCTAATCTTTAATATTGGCGAACCAAAGGTCATTCAATCTCAAGCAAACCAAAGTGCCGAGAGGCGTTTAAAACCTATGATTTTCATTTTTTTTTTTTTTTTTTTGTTGTCCGGCTTCCAAATAGCCCTAGGGCTGGTGTTACTCTTAATGCAGAAGTATCAACTATAAATAACTGAAGCTTATTCCTATAAATAAATAATCCATTGCAAAATCGGGCATCTAGTCTCTGAATATTGCAAATCAGTCTCCAAGATCTATCTATCTCTAGTAGGAAACAATAAAAGCAAAATTTAAAATATAATAAATGGAATTTCAACCAGTGAAGTCTACATGTTCGATAAAATTACCGAGTAAAAGACCATCCATGTCGAAGATGACGTGGGTGATGGGTCCTTTTCCGGAAACAGGGCCGGAGGGATTGACCATTGCGAAATGGGACTTGGGGTATGATGGCGAAGCAGATTGCTTGAATGTGAGTCAGAGGATCTAAAATGGTGAGTCCCGGCTTGACAGAGCTTATCTCAAATGGTTGCGGTGGGGACGTTCATTAGTCCTGACTGGAGTGTTGTTAATTACTAGAGACCCATAAAAAGAGAATAGATAAATAAGAAAACAAAATAGAAAGGAAAATTTTAACTTATCAAGAAATATTTTTACCACTTTTGTAGAATTCGATGTAATATTTTGTTTTTTAGGTTTATCTTTTTTTATAAAGTAAGTATTATTAATTATCATAAAATTTCTCAACATCTTTTATTTCAACCTAAAATCATTTTTTAATAAAACAATTTGGTAGCATATATTTGAGTTAGAATAAAAATAAAATAAAATCATTTTTTAATATGTATATCTTTTTAACTTTTTGGGATTTCAACATTAATTTTTTATTGTATTAGGGTTCCAAAATTATATTATTAGGGTACCAAATCTTTACTAATGAAATATATCAAATACCACACTAATAGAAAACATAACGAAACAATACTTATCTTAACTTTATGTAATTTAAAAAAAAAAGACCAAATTTGTACCTTTTTTTCAATTAAAGAAGTAGTTCAAAGAAAGCGAGTTGAAATTATGAAAGATACTTGGAGAAATTAGTCAAAGAACATTAAAAAAATTGAGATTTAAAATAGATTATTAGAGAAATGTTATAAAAGAAATGGTTATAATAGTAGAATTGAAGAGAAAGATGATAAGAAAATGAATTTATTATAAAATAAAATGAATACAAGAGATAACAATTTCAAATAATCTCTCAATCTCTACAAAATACTTATATAAAAACTAATTAACAATTAAGTCGATTTATAGGTTTCAAAATTAGAATGAGAAGCTGAAATAGACTATGAACCATTAAAAGTACATAAATTGTTGATTTAATTGCATCACCTTTTCAATTTCTCATGTTGAAGGGTGAATTGAATTACATTAAGAATTATGAGTAGTGAAAATATAAACATTCATATGGATATTTATTATTTCATAACACTTTCCATTGAAATCCATCGTACAAGAAACATGTCTCGTTAAATCTTTACTAGGAAAAAAACTCGATGAAAAAAATACTAATAAAGAATAAATGGTACAATATTCCTTGTACATATTAATCTAATATTGGGCTCCCCTATTGAAATCATTATTTGAGATTTTTAAGATAAGGCATCTCGGTCTTGCGTACCATTTTCTCAAAAGTTATTGTAGGTAATGTCTTAATGAATAAGTCCGTTGGATCGTCACTTTGATACATTCTTCCTTTAATTAATTATACAAATAGCATTATCTTCATATAATATTGTTGAACTTCTTTACTTGGTAGATAAACTGCATGTCTTTCGGATATGATGTATCGTTGATCTTACCCAAATACATTCTCGATTTGCCTCACGAATTGGTATTTCTATATAGTTTGAATATCTAACGACTATAGTTTGCTTCATAAAACGTCATGATATAGTTGTATTACAAAGTGTAAATACATAATTCATTTGTGATCGAGTTTTATACGGATCAGATAAATAATCTGCATTTGCATAACCAATTAAACATGACTTTGATTTATTTGAGTAAAATAAATATCATATCAATTTTTTTCATAGAGATAACATAGGAAATGTTTAATTCTATTCCAATGTCTTCATATTGGAGCAAAACTTATGTCTTGCTAATAAATTTATAAAAAAAAGGCTATATCGAGCTTATTATTATTAGCAAGATATATCAATACACTAATTGAACTAAGATATAGTACTTCGAGACCAAATAATTCTTTGTTATCTTTTTGAAGTCGAAAAAATAATCTTTTTGGATATCAAGTGAACAAATTACCATTGGGCTAATTAATGAATGAGCTTTCTATAGAATCATTGTAGAACTTTTTCTATATAAATTAATTGATGAATAAAAATATCATTCTCTAAGTGCTCAAGCCGTAAGTCGAGATAACATTTTGTTTTCTCAAGGTATTTACATCAAATTCTCTTTTTAGATAACTTGGAATCTCTTGAAAAGTTCTAATAATATTTAAGTAATCAACATATACAACAAACCCCTTTTCGAATAAAAATACATGAACAAATAGGATTATTTTTATGATTTTCTTTCAATAAATAATCATTAAAGCAATTATATCACATATACACGAGTTAGTAATAAAAAGTAGATATTGAAAATAAAAAATATATAAATATAAAAAAATAGTATAAATTGAATTTTTAAAAACTAAAATAATAAAATAAATACTCAAATAATCTCGATAGAGATTTATTAAATTTATTTTATTTTTCGAAAATGTGTATTACATGTTTCATGTATCTTTAATCCTTCCGAGACTTTCATATAGATATCATTTCAAGTGAATAAATAAACCGTGATCACATTCAATAAATGCATGTATATGAAGTTTTTTATATATTTTTTCAAACCAACGAGATAACAAAATGTAATAGCATCCATTCCCGAAGAATGTGCTTCTTCATAGTCGAGTGTCGGATCTTTGCGAAAACTCTTGTGTTACATGTCTTGTTTTGTATCTCACAATCTCATCCTTCTTATTTTGTTTTCATACAATTATTCATTTGTATCTCACTAACTAAACATCTTCATGTGTTTTAACTGTGGGTTTAAAAACTACTCATTTGTAAGAGAATATAATTCTTTCTAGATTGCTCTTTTCATTTAGGATAATCATTTCTATGTCAACATTCTTCAATAAAGTTAGGATCAAGATCCTTATTTTCATTCAAAATATCGATTACAACATTATATGCAAAAATCTTATCACTAAATGTTTCTTTTCGGTCTAATTTTCACCTTGTATTGACATAATTTAACAAAGTTTTTTTATTTTTCTTAAGCATTTGGACTTCTTCTAGAAACCTATTATCGAAATATCTTGGATTGTTTTATGAATATTTGCATAATTTATATTTTTATCTTGATTATTTTTCCTTTTCTTTTGGGGATTTTTATCTTTAGAACCGATCGATCTTTCATGCTTCATGCGTACTTTAAATTCATTTGCTATAACATGAATAGTTTGTCCTTCCAGGACATTAATTCTAATAAAAGCATTCTCAACGGAGACATGCATTTTAGTTACTCATTTAGGATCCAAGAATGCATCTAACTATTGGTTTACAATACCTTGTAAATGAGTTATCTTTTGAATTTCAGTTCACATTGTTTTATACGAGGATCAAGATGATATAAAGATAGCATACTCTATGTAATCTTTTTTTCAACATTTCCAATCGCTTATTTTGCTTATTCTCTCCCCTTAATATTGAAAAAATTATTTCATCAAAATGACAATCAAGTAAATAGAGTTGTAAAAATATCTCTTGTTTATGATTTAAGATATTTAATTATCAAAGAGGATTCAAATCTAACATATATTTTTAATATCTTTTAAGTGTCCATTTTAGTTTTTTGTGGATGAGCACTATGGATATATACTACATAGCAAAAAATTCTTAGATGAGAAATATTTATCTCATGACCACAAACAAATTGAAAAGGATAGAATTTCTAATAACTTAAGAGTCCGATGCGAATAAGTATTGTTACATGTAAGATTACATGTCCCCAAACATAAATATGAAGTTTTATTTTTAAATAATGGTTTAGCTATCAATTGGAGTCTTTTGATAATTCATTTTACTAAATCTTTCCGAATATGAACATGAGCAATAGAATGTTCAACCTTTATTTTAATAGCCAATCAATAATCATTTAATACTAGGATATAAATTCACTCGCATTATCAAGGAAATTTTTTTGTATTGACATAATCTGAAAATTATGCTCACAATCGAATTATTTGAGCGAGCAATCTCGAAAACGCTAGGTTTCAAGTAGATAATAAGCATACATGTAATCATCTTATGGATGCATCTATTAAAACCATAAAATATGGTCCACATGATGGATAAATAGATCTACATATATCACTTTGAATACATCCTAAAAATATTATAGATTCAATCTCAATTTTACTTAGTGATGACTTAATAATCAATTTGCCTTAAGAATAAGCGAACACGAAAATTCATTAAATTAAAGAATCTTCTGGTTCTTTAATAGATATCTATATGAATTTTTAATAATTTTTTGCATTATGAAAAATCCAAGATAACTCGACTAGGTTATTTCACATAATAAAAGTATTTAAATTAGCAAACTTTTGGTTTATTATACTATTTGTTTCAATCATTTAAATGTTTATAATAAAGACCAAAAGAGAAAACAAGTAATTTTTTCAATACATATTTTCTATCCGATGTAATTATAATATTCAAAAATTCAATATTTTTCATATTTGTTGTCTTGATATGATGTCCATTTAGACGGATATCTTTAAAACTCAACAAATTTTTATGAGACTTTAAAAAGAATAATGCATTATTTATAATAAAATTTGTCTTTTCATATAATGATATATTTGTCCTTCTAGAGCCTTTAAATGCTATTACTTTAAGTAATAATATATTCAATCTTCTAAAGTCCGTAAAAGTTATCTCTTCAAGTAATAATATATTCGCTCTTCTAAAGCCTTCAAAATTTATCTCTTCGAGATAATAATATAGTCGTTATTCTAGAGCTTTATATTAGATTGATATTATCATATATAATATTAATATAAAATAAATAAATAAATAATAAATATATATATTCTTCATAAATACAAATAAATAAATTTATATCTATCTCTATCTAATAGAAATTATAAAAAAATATTAAATATCTTATTTATAAATAGAAATATTAACAAGTTATTAATTTCAATTATCTCCATTTTGATATATAAAATTGACCTCTATATTTTACTCTTTTCTTTTTCAACGAGGTGCTTTGGTGTATGACAAGTATATGACCTATGTCCACTCATGTCATATCTATAACATTTTATAATAACCGATACTCGC